CTTTGTTGCCTCCCTTTTCTGAGGCTGGTGTCAAATGACTGTATGATCATTCATTGTGGGTTTCAGCCCTCAAATTGTCCTCAAGCAATGAGACCTGTGACCCCTGTTGAGTCTGTGTCACTGAGAACTCTGTGGTTGCACAACCCTGACTTAACTTGTTAGGGCTGTGAAGATGGTGAGGGTCTCTCACTTCAAGGGGGACCTATTCAGGGTCATCCCTCTCTTGAGCTGGATCTGATGCTCTCTCCATACTCCCACAAATTATCCAAAGAGCTTGGTCAAAATGGCATAAAAAAAAAAAAGGTAATATCTTGGATTCCACCTTCATGGATGAGTCACTCCATCTCTCCCTCACCTATGCCAAGGCTTCCTTTGTCTTCCCTTGGAAATGAGTATGGGTTCTTGAGTCTAATGGTGGAGGCCAAAGGAGTTTATGAGAGGAAGCAGCAGCAGCCACTTGGATGACCTGGACAAAACTGATCCTTCTGGGTGTGGAGTCCGCCAGGCTCTTTCTGTCCCCCACTGCTTCCTTACTACTGGACCTCAAGACCCCCTTCTCAGCCCTTCTGTCTTCCTTTGTTGCCACATTCAACCCACTGTCTCTGCTTAGTCTTTTCTGCCCCCAGCCCACCCTTTTCTCCTTCATCAGATATTAGGGTAATGAAATAAACAAAGCCAAAACAGACAGCAGGGAGAAGGGTTCTCTTTTGCAACTATTTAAAGCACTCTTGGTCCTTCATCCTTCTTGGATCTTTTGTGGAAAAGAGGCTAAACACCTAATTTTTTTTAAGCTGTGACATTATTGTCATTAAGATTTGCCTCTACCCAATTAATTCCTGTTAGAAATGTGGTTTGAAACTTATTATGCAGGTTTAGAAAAAGAGCTGAGAGTCAGGGGCATCTAAACATCCTTATTGTGGTGCCTTCAAAAGGGCATTTTGCCCTTCCAAGACATCTTTTCCCCTCCTCTACAACCAGTATGGATCAGGAACACTCCCTACTCTGGCTGCACTTTGGAATCACCTAGGTAGCTTTAAAAAAAAAAAAAAAAGGCCAATGCCAAAGCCCCAACTCAATCAGAATCTCTTGGTGCGACCTAGGAAGAGGCATTTGTGATGTTTGTCTGAGACACAGCAGTTGCCTGTCCCTCAAAGTTCAGAGCACACACTAATGCCTCCTGGGTTCCTGTGAAAATGCAGATACTGATCTACTAGGGTCCACATCTCCAGGAGCTCCTGGTGCTGCTTGTCTGAGGGCTACTCTTAGAGTAGGGAGGCCATGAAATATCAGAAAGGGTCAGGCTGTCAAATGGGTACTGCACCCCCTACCAATATGCCAACTGAATGGAAGAAACAGAATGTTCAGAACAGAGAGCTGTCTTTCTGGGAAGACAGGGAGCTACAGGTCACTTCAAGGGACTCTCTCACTCAAGACACTTTCTTCATTATTTCTCTCATGGTGCCTTTCCCATGAGGGGTGTGACCACCTCAGGCCTCTGCATGCATCCTCCCAAGTGTTAACTCACACCCAGGACTTTTCTGTTCTCATGGTGATATCCTGCAAGGTTTAGTGACAGGACCCTACCATGCAGAACAGAGAACAGGCAGTAATTAATATCTCCACATTGACCCCTCATCTATATTTGTAATTTAACAATCAGTTCTCATTGCTAGGACACCAGTATCCTTCACTACACTCAGCCACTGGAATTGTGTTGTCATAAGCTAGTCCTTTTCCGGTTCACCAATCCTGAACCCAGCTGCATCAGCTCCCTTAGATGAGCAAGAATAGCTGAAGCTGCACACATCCACTGACCCAGCCACCTGCCACCTCCAGTACTAAGCATGATGTGTCCTTGCCATGCCTCCTCCTGTTTGTGCTTTGGGCAGTAGGTCATTGGCATCTGCAGGAGTCCTCGCCAGGACTTGGCTTCTTATTCTTGAAAGAAGGAGGTAAGATGGCCAGCTGATCTGTCATTAATCATTGAGTTTCCTCTAGGGACAAAACCCTTGTACTGTTTACTTTGTGCAAAGCAAATACTTCTCCAGAAATGCTCCTCCTCTTTTTTTCATATGAAGCTCTTTTACTAAAAGAATAATTTAGCTGCAGAAAGTTCCCCTGCTAAGAGGAAGAAAGGACCACTGGCCCAGGGAAAGGACAGAACAAGTGTTTTTCTGTAATTGTCTCCTGGAGGCTGAGTCTTTCCTGGCTTTCTAGTCCCCCTCACCACCTGCTATGAAAGCAGAGCAGGGATGGTTCCAGCCATAGCATGGCCTTTTCTGATTCTTCTTGAGCCTAAACTGTCAGCATCTTCTCCTGGAAATAGAGGGCTTGACTCTTTTGGATATAAATGTTTTGGTTTAAGAAGTGCCGAAACACTTCACAAAGTGGAGATTCAAAGAAGAAGATGAATCCTTCTATTCACAAATGGCCAGCACCTGTGTGTCCAGGTCCACAAAGAATTATGTGATGAGTAACAAAAACAAATTGTTGGCAAATGAGAAGTCTGCTAGTAGGCTTCAAAGAAATTAAATGAGAACTGGTGATCTCTCTCCTGGGTTCTTTTGCAGGATGAGTACTGAGGTGCTATGTCCCTGGGCCTTTTCCTGGCTGTTGGCCAGTCTGATCTGGGAATGGGTAGGAAGCTGGCTTGCAGAAAAACAGCTGTGTCCTCAAGAAGGCCATTTTGAACCAGGCAGGCAGACAAGCCAAATGTGGCAACAGGGTCTGAAGACTGATGTTTGCACAAGGTCCTATCAAACAGAGTCAACCCTCAATTTTTGGGCATGGCAGGGTCACATGTGGAGTCAACTGTCAGACCTTGCATTCACTCAAGGAGTTGTGGACAAGACTTACTGAGAACAGCAGAATGTCTAGAAGTCAGGTCTACAAACTTCAGGATACATTAAGCTTTTCCAAATAGTGGTGCCCTTGGTGGAGGTGATAATCCCTAAATGTCTACCCTTCTTACATAATCGGAACCCAGCAAAAGCTACAAGGCTGGTGCCCACTGCCTCTCTGTGCACTTTCAGTGCCCTTCTTATCTGCTGTGTTTTCTCTTTATTAAAAAAATTTAACCTTTGAAAGCATAGATACCAACTTCTGAATTTAGGTTCCCAGAGGAGCCCCTAGTTCCTGGAGGTCATAGATATTTGATCTGTGTTTGAAAACACCTGAGTCCTTTCCTTTTGTAAAGCTCCCAGAATTCCGAGCCCTTCTGGTTCTATACTTGTTCACAACTCCACCTTGGCTCTTAAACCTGCTCATAGATTGTATCCACTCCATGAGGCTTCAGATTATGTAAACTGACTTAAGTACTAACCTAGTGCTCCAAGTTGGATTTCTTTATATTTCTATGCTAGATTATCACAGGTCAGCTAAGAGCTTGGCAATAGCACCTGGCACATTGATGGTATCAAGTTGATATGCATGGGGTTTACTTGTCTGAACACCAGGCTTGAGGTGCAATGACCTACAATAGTCTTAGAGGCATGAGGCTGCCTTCCTTGCACTGAAAAATGTAGAGTTGACCATGTGAATTTCAGAATAGGTATATGCATGTGTGTTCTTTTAGAAGCAAAGCCCTGCCTGATCCCTGGCAGAATGAGGTTACATCATGCTTGTGCAGCCCGAGGAATAGGACATTTTATAGCTCTAAATGTAAAGGGAGATTGGGCAGTATAGCAGTAGTGTCACCATGGAGAGTATCAGTGCCTGCTATTCTTGATCATCCATAGGGAAAGTTGGCTTCTCAGATGCAGTCATACAAGGGAGAGAGAGAGAGAATAATGAAGGCTGGTGGCATAAAAGGAAAGAGTGTCCTCGCCCAGACCCTTGCCCCTTTCTAGCTGACCTCAGGCTATAGCACTGAGCCTCTGTTTTCTTGTCTGTTAAATTAGTATAAACCCTCACCTCACAGCATTTGTGTCAAGATTAAGACTGGGCACCTATGACTGTGCCCAATGCACCAAAAGATTGTTACTCAATAGATGTTAGTACCCCCACCCCTGCCAAGAGTACTGAGGGGACATCACTTAGCTCCATTACATTTGCCCTCACTGTGCACTGAGAATTCACTGTTTGCCACCTTCCATGTGATTCTAATTTCATCATTTGACAGCTCACTTTTGAAATAGCATCTTTCATTCCTGAGTGTCTATGCACAGTGCAGAAATGAGAACAGTTCCCCTCTGCAGACAGAAATGTGAGATCCAGGTACATTATTTTCCTGGGTAAACACAAGATCCAGCAGGAGAAATGGGGTGGGGCGGGGCAGAAAGGCCTATACCTGAATCAGGTTCAAGTTCAAGGAGCGTGTATTAAGCACTTACTCTGTGTCTGATGCTTTTGCAGGCAGTGTTCCCCCTCGGTAGCTAAGGAAACAGAGATTCAGTGATGGTCAGCTCTATGTCCATTTGCATGGGCAGCACAGCCAGGAATCAAATCAGGTCTCATTCCCTCTGCCACACGTCTCCTAGTCAGGCTTGGTGACTATTTCTGTTTCCCTCCAAGAGAAACCACAACAATCAACAGATTCTTTCTGATCAGAGCAGTTTCCTTTGGAGCCTTCTAAGCTATCAGATGACTCTCAGATGACTTAGGTGATTCTGCTCCTGCTGTGTTTTTTTAGGATCCCCTGAGAAGTAGCTTGTGCAGAGAGCTTGGCCAGGCAGCTTCTGCAAATAATTCAAAATTACAACCTATGAGTGATTGTAGGGAGGGCTACCACACAGAATCCAGAAAAGGCAAAAAAGACATAGCATTCCCTCTGTTAGCCCCAGTGGCCACCTCTCACCCACTCCCCACAGGGATCTGAGCCAGACTAACTCAAGGCTGTCTGAGTCAGAACAGAGAGTGCTGGGGCACCCAGCCTTGGGAAACAAACCTGGCTGATGTTCAGTTTGGGTGTCACTTTCCTTAGTAAACTGTAAACTTTTCTGTGGGCAAAGCTGGGCATGGATCCCACTGCACTCACACCCTTGTTTTCCCTCTCTGTGTAGGTCCTTGCTGCGAAGGTTCTCAATCTTGTCCTACCAAACATGTCTCTGGGCCCAATCGACTCCAGTGTGCTCTCTCGGAATAAGACGGAGGTGAGAGTCTTTCTGAAAACCAGGGGTAGCTGGGGCTAGTGAGGGAGTGAAAGCAGCAGCCCCCATGGGAAATCCGAGTTTTATCTGTTTGTGGTATTTTGCTGCTCTTTTGCCAAGGCCCTGAATGGAGTGATGTGGACATGAAGATGCACGATATGCCATCTGGCTTCAGGATTGGGAGGGAAGGAATAAGTGACCATGATGCCTAAGCTGTGCTCTAAATGTGCAAAGGAGGTAACCAGATAAAGTTGTATGTCTATCAGCTAGGTCTCTTTTGGTTGTGACAGAAACTTAACTGGAAATGATTTAAGCAATTTTAAAAGTGAAATTTATTGGTGAATATACTAAAGGCCTCAGACATGGGTGGATCCAGGGACTTGAATGTCTTGTAAACCATCTACTCTCCCCAGGTCTCATATCCCCTGGTTTGCCTTCATTCCCAGCCAAACTTTGCCTAAGTGTAGGCAGAGATGGCCACTGGAAGGAAAAGAGAGAGAGGAAGAAAGGAAGCGAGGGAGGGAGGGAGGGAGGGAGGGAGGGAGGGAGGGAAGGGAAGGAAGGGAAGGAAGGGAAGGAAGGAAAGCAAAACCAGCTGAGAGAAGCTTAGAAAGAAGAGGCAAGGTGGCTTCAGGGGAGACAAGCTGGTTGTGCCTTTGGTCATTGTCATCGTCCCTGGAACCAGGCACCAAAGTCAGCATGATCAAAATGGCAAGATCAACAGTGTGCCTGAGACACTGAGTCTGAACAGAGTTCAAGACCCAGAAACTTGGATTCATCTATTAAGATGCTGCTCAGTGCACCAACCTACCTCCAAAAGTTTAGCGAAAGGCCAGCACCTGTTCCTACCTTTAATTGGGCCTTAATGCTCTCTGCCAAGTGGGTATGGTGTGCTTACTCACACAAGTCAGCCCCAGATGCACAGACTGAGGTTCTGTAAGATGAGAGGACTTGCCTGGGTCACCCACTGGTAGGACGAGCCTGAGAGCTTAGGTGGGTGTGGTCCCTATCCCTGCTCTGTCTGTGGGGCAACAACCCCCTGTAGACTTACAGCCAGTGGACAGGGAACAAGCCTGGGTATCTGGAAGACACTGTAATTATCTTTAGGATTAATCAAATCATTTTACAACCCCCTATAGACTTACAACCAGTGGACAGGGAGCAATTCTGGGTACCTGGAAGACACTGGAATCATCTTCAGGATTAAGCAAATCAATTTGCCGCTCTTCTACCTCAGCTTCCCATCTGCCTTAGGAATTTGAACCCATGAAAGCAGTGGTTTCCTAAGGACCCTGAAAAATAGAATGAGTGCCCTAGCTTTCCCAGGTTTCCTTGGGACTTGAGCATTTGGACTCTAGCTTTATTATAAAATTTGACCTCTTGAGTCACTTAGAGATAGGGCAACTAAACATGAATCATGCTCCATGTGTATGAAGGCCATATTATTATTATTTTGGGTACATGCCCCTAGTGGGAACCAAACCCGGTACTTTCTGGTCCACAGGCCGACACTCCAACCACTGAGCCAAACCAGCCAAAGCTGAAGGAGATATTCTTGATCAGGAGTTAAAACTCCCAGGTTTCCAAGGCTAAGGAATTTGGTGAGGCTTGTGGGGAGTCAGAGGGTGTCAGATCCACCCAAGTTATGCACACTCAAATTTAATTTAATCTAATTTTTAGAACCCACAGTACCTCCCAAACCCACATCTTGGGGCCAAACCCACCAGGGTCAAAGAATATTTCAGTAAAGAAAAAAATGTAACTCCAAAAGGCAGAGCTATATGTTGAAAAGGTACAACTTTAGGACAAACATATGCTGAATAATTTAATCCTGACCTTAACCACATTTCACAGGTAAGGAAACTGAGGCTCAGAGGTTAAATAACTTGTCCATGGTTGCACAATCAGTCAGGGGCACAACTGGGACCTAAACTCATTTGATTCAAAAGTCCATGGTTGGGTGCCTCCTCCCAGCTAGTATTTATAATCATTAAGCTCTTTTTCCTGTTCGTTTGTTTTAAAATTTTTATCGATTTTAGAAAGAGGAAGGGAGAGAAAGAGAGAGAAAGACAGATTGGTTACCTGCTGCATAAGCCCAGACCAGGGATTGAACCCACAACCTGAGTATGTGCTCTGACCAGGAATGGAATTCACCACCTTTGGTTAATGGGACGATACCCCAACCAACTGAACCACACCAGCCAAAGTTCTTTTTCTGGTTTATAATCATTAGTCCACACAGCCTGTTTCTGGGGCCCATTGCTCTGTGTGCAGGTTTCACTTTGGTTTCTTTTTTGTTTGTTTTTTAAATTTTCTTTCTTTGCCCTGGTCGGTTTGGTTCAGCAGTTAGAGCATCAGCCCACAGACCAGAGAGTCCCGGGTTTGGTTCCCACTAAGAGGAAGTACCTTGGTTGCAGTTTGTCCCCGACCCCGGTTGGGGTTGTGGGGATGGTGACCAGTCAATGTGTCTCTCTCACATCAATGTTTCTCTCTCTCTCTTCCTCCCACTCTCCCTCCTACTTTATCTGAGGCTAAATGCAAAAATGTCCTCAGGTGCCCTGGCCGGTTTGGTTCAGCGGTTAGAGCGTCAGCCTGCGGTCCTGAGAGACCCGGGTTCGGTTCCCGCTAAGGGCGCATACCTCGGTTGCAGTTTGTCCCCGGCCCTGGTCGGTTGTGCGGGTGGCAGCCACTCGATGTGTTCCTTTCACATCGATGTTTCTCTCTCTCTCTCTGTTCCTCTCTCTCTGTTCCTCTCTCTCCCTCCCATTCTACCTGAACAAAAAAAAAAAAATGTCCTCAGGTGAGGATAAAAAAAAAAATTTCTTTCTTTATTGATTTTAGAGAGAGAGGAAGGGAGAGGGAGAAAAGTAGAGACATTGATGGGAGAGAACATTGACTAGCCACCTCCTCATGCCCCCCACTGGGGATATGGCCTACATCCTAGGCATGTGTCCTACCTGGGAATCAAAACTGCGACCTCTTGGTCCATGGGTCGACACTCAACCACTGAGCCACACCGGCTGGGCAAGGATTCACTTTGTGATGGGAGTCAGTGTGAGGCAGGGGCTCCTCCACCTGCCACCATCCCCCATAATGGCTCTGGTTTGAATGTGCAAGTCTCTAGTAAAACCAGTTATTTTTGCAGCAGCTCTGCTAGGACAACAATGGGTTAAGAGAGCAAGAGGGACCTCCTTTGAGATCTATGAGAGGAAATATCCAGATGCACAGGTGAGTCATTTATCTTGCCACCTGAAAGCACTTGAGCAAAAAAGGAAGAAAGAAAAAAAAAGAGAGAGAGAGATAATGAAATTATTCCAAGCCCTCTTTGTTTTTTTTGTTTGTTTGTTTTTTTGTTTTTTTTTTATCCTCACCCGAGGACATTTTTCCATTTTTTGTTCAGATAGAGCGGGAGGGAGAGAGAGGAAGAGAGAGAGAGAAACACCGACGTGAAGGGACACATCGAATGGCTGCCACCCGCACGACCAACCAGGGCCGGGGACAAACTGCAACCGAAGTACATGCCCTTAGCGGGAACCGAACCCGGGTCTCTCTGTACCACAGGCCTACGCTCCAACCGCTGAGCCAAACCGGCCAGGGCAAGCCCTCTTTGTTTAAAAGTAACAATTCTCTGGTTGGGCCTAATCCCCAGTGGGGGGCATGCAGGAGGCAGCCACTCAATGTTCTCTCTCATCAATGTCTCTATCTCTTTCTCCCTCTTTCTTCCTCTCTCTCTAAAATCAATAAAGAAAAAATATTAAAAAAAGAAAAAGTAGCAACTCTCTTGCCATTGCTCAGGGGTTAGAGTGTCAGCTCATGCCCTAAAGAGTCAGTCGCAAGTTTGATTTCCAGTCAAAGGCACATACCTGGGTTGCAGGTTTGATCCCTGAGCACCACCCCCAGTCGGGAGGCATGTGGGAGGCAACCAATCGACGTGTCTCTCTGGCATTGATGTCTCTCTCTCTCTCTCTCTCTCTCTCTCTCTCTCTCTCTCTCTCTCTCTTCCCCTCCTCCCTTCCCTCTCCCCACTTCCACTCCCTCCTAAAAAAAAATCAATGGAAAAAATATCCTTGGTTAAGGATTAACAAAAATAAAAAATAATTTTTAAAAATTATAGAAAAGAAAGAAGACAAAAACCAAACAAAAGCAAATAAAAAATAATAAAAGTAGCAACTCTCAGAGTTTTTATCTTATTTTTGAAATAATGGAAAATTCCATTGAAGGCCTTAAACACACAGAAGAATCTGGTGTGAATATACAGCAGTCTCTCCTGGGATCCCAGGTTGCACTCCCTCATGTATCAGGTTTCTGACTGGTCAGGTAAATGGAGTGATTCTTAGAAGCACAAATAAATGTCCCTGCTAAGAAGTCTTAGAAGAGGGAGGTGATTGGTGCTGGTCAGCACAAAAGCTGAACTCCTGTTGGAATGAATAGTAGCTAGCATCTCAATTCCTCAGCAGAAAGAATTCACCTCTCAAATGTCCAGTTCTGAGTTTCCTTTGAACATTGTGCTGAGCTTTAAAAATAGTAATGCCCAGAAGGAAATGTGCTCAGAAAGGCACCTCCCTGTATCTAACATCTAATATTAGGTTGTCTAGCTATTTCCCATGGAGCCCTGAAGCTATCAAAGCCTCAAAAAGAAAAGAAACATTTGCCTAACAAGCTTACTAAAGCAGGCCCTTGGAGGAAGGGTGCAGGCTGAGGGGGTGGAGAGTGGCAGACTTGTTGGAAGGCTGTCTCTGGGGAAACAGGCTGGTTCTGCTATTCAAATATCAAAAGCAGGATGTTTAGGGTTTGCTGTGGCGAGTATTCTCACAACCCACCCAAGACTGTTAGCATGATGCCCTTCACAAGCATCACTTCTCATCTGACAACCCACAGACACACATTCTCCTGGACTGTATAACTCCTGGACATTACGTCCACAAGTAATGCAGAACATGCTTTGGATTGTCTCAGCACCATCCAATGCACAATGATTGCACCCTTCTTCTCTGTCAGACTAG